ATTTTGAAAAGATAACATCACTCATACGCCACGTGTACCCAAAATTCATTTGAGCTGCCAACCCTAATACACGTACTCATAATAGAAAATATTATTAAATTAAAATTTATTCCACCACAAGTCCAGTCAAATCAAATAAATTTACCTTATGCATAACTAAACAGCTTAATTTGCTGTGAGGTTATAATTCCAATATATTCCTTTGGCGCACACAACCACAGGTACACAGACAGGTTGCATCCATGTCCTTAACAATGCAAATAAATTTATAAAAGTCTGCTGCCAGAGCAGTTAACGGAAACAAATTAAATTATGTTAAAGCGATATGAGAGAAAATAGAGAAAAAAGTAGAGGAATTTAAACCAAAAGAAAAGGCCAACAAATTATGCAAACTGAAATGTATGCAGATAGTAGCAATCGTCTATGATGGTTTGCTTTGCATATTTTTCACAGTTTTTCATTTTTAATCCTTCAACCATATCTAGGTGTGCTATGCAACCCAGCGCTCATTCACTCAACCGCTTTAGGAAGCACTCATTCACTCATTCACTCACGTATCACATGTATAATTTATACCTTCAATTATTTTTCGCTATTCTTTCCCTTCATTCATTCATACTTACCTCATACTTTTGCGCACATCCTGTGGCTCAGGTGGCCTTGGTCTATGCTTACAAACGACCACAATGCCCGCCACAATAATTGACGTTACTATGACGGCACCTATCGCAACCACTGCGGCCAGTATGAGCAACGTTGATTGTTTTTCAGGACCACTTATGCTTGCTCCGGTGCCACTGGCGCTAGATGTTCCTCCGCTGGCATGATGTGTTGTTTCAGCTGGTGTGGGATCCTCGGAGAGTATAGTTTCATCTATGTCCATAGAACAGCAAGTCGTTGTGTATATACATGTACATGAAAAGAAAAAGAAACGGACAAAAGTAAATATAAAAGAGAAGCAATATTAGAAAAATGCGATGAAATTAGCAAAAGGCATATAAGGACGATGATTTGTTATTTGCTTGAAATTAGTTTTTATTGTTTCCGTTTTTTTCCTTTCAATTTTTTTTTATCTTTTATTTTCTATTTTCATTCGTTTCTTTAGATGTGTTCTTTTTGCTGCTTTTTAATAGTTTATTTGTTTAGTTTTGTTTGCTTTAATTTTAGCTTTTCTCCCAACCTTACGTATATTTGCTTGGAATTACATTTACATTTCCAATTCAGAGGCAGACATATAGGCTGCAGCTTAGAATTACTTTTTTTATTTCCTTAAGTTTTTCTTTCGATTTACTTGACTTTATTTATTGCTAAGGAAAACTAAGGAAAATTGAAATCTGCTTAGTTTAACCACTATTCATGCCTTATCCTTTACATATTAGAGCGCAAAGGTTTGAAATATAACAAAAGGAACGTAAATAATATATATCTTGCTGTTTGTTAAGGACTTCATTAGGTTAATGTATTTATCTTAAAATAAATAATGTTTATTTATAGCATATATCTGTCTTCTTTCGGATGTACTTTCAGAGGGTGATGATATCATATCATAAGTACGTGTAGTCGGAGTACTTAATTGAATTGGATTTACTCAATTCAGTCTTCCATTTCATGTGATCTAATGTTTATGTAAAAGATTTACGCGAAGATGTAACCTTGTTAAGATGAAGCTTACTATATTCCACTAACTGATTGACAAACATTCAAAAACAATATAGAAAACTTGAAAAACTTTTACTTATGAATCGTTAAGTAAAACATTTAGCTCATATAGCTCATACGATAAGCTTTATGCGCTATACCAAAACATTGACATATGTTAGTTAAGTGTATAAAAATTTTAACAGCTTCGCTGGCTTGGTCATGTGGGGCATATGGAAGAAAAGTCCCCGCGAAGAAGATGTTTGATTCGATATTCGCTGGCGAAAAACACGGTAGAGGATGCCCTTATCTTCTATGGAAGGTTAAATGATCAAAGATTTAAAGGAATTCAATACTACCAACTGGCGAGAGCAAACTACTCTTCAGGTTGGCAGGTTGAGGCTACTGAACGCGTCCATAGACGACTTGCTTCTGTAATAACCAACTAAGTAGAAAGGTAATTATGAACGTTTAAGTAGTGAGTGGAGTAGTAGTTTAAACACACAATTTAGAAACAGTTTTTTGTGTAATCCAACGATTTAGTAGTAATAATGTATATATAGTTAGTGAGTAAAACTAGCATAGAAATTTGCAATCCTGAAATAAATTGGACATGATAGACAGAAGACAAAATAGGGACTAAGTCGAATTAGGGAGATGTGATATGCGTAATTCTTTAAGTCAAACTACTGTTCACAGGTTTAAACGAGGAGAAAAGACTCATATACACTGCAAGCATTATGGTGAAAAGGAAGAGAGTCTATAATTTTATGAGTGTTAGATTGTTTGGTGTACAATCAATTTTTCCTTATAAATGTCACAAGATCTTTTTTTGTAATGAGGCTGTATAATTAGCAAGAAAATCAACCTAATGTCAGTTAATGAAAAGTACACAGCGCGTCTACTGATTATTTGTTGTCACCTATTGCGTATATAATCGATGTAAAAAATTGCTTGTACTAATCGTCATCAGAGATTGTATATAGTTTTTTTGTTATTGTAATCAACGTTGAGTTAAGATCTTTAAATATCTATATCTTGAAAGTACGTGATATCGATACATAGTAGAATGGAATCAGTTACCTCAAACAGCTGACTCTATTTAAGTCCTTCATTTATTCAGATACTCGTGAGATCGTGTTTGATCCAACTTTTTCTTGATAAAAAAAAATAGTTGTCATTTATTTATTATTAAATAATATATATGTATTTTAATTTTTTATATTACTACCAATAATTACACGCACGAGTAATTCGCATTAGAAATAATCGCGAAGCCGCGCTCCGGAGAAACCGCCTTCTTGATCACGGTAGCCCCTACGCCAGGTAAGCATATTAGTATATTTCTTATAGTTTTTTTAATTCTAACAAGAGACCTTGCAAGCATATAATTAGTGCTATACTCGTATATAGAAAAAAACAATTATAAAAAGAACAAATGTAGATAAATATTTTTATCTATAATTAAATAAATATTTTAATTTCTTTATTCGCTTCCTCATTTTACGTTAGCAATAAACATTTGCAGCAAACTTATTTAAAAATTCCTAAAAGGATACATCAAAATGATCAAATCAAGGATGTAGGATCCATTTTGGTTAAAATTTATTAGGGAGGTGTTTTTCATTTGTTTTTCTAATTGTGTTCTGTGTTGCTCAACGAGGCATTTCCGCTTCATTTGCCAACGTGACAGCTACCAGCACAGGTAAAAGGAAACACAACGCCGTGGAAAACGATGAGCTATCAAGACAAAAATGAAATATGGCCAAGTGGTGGAATGTTGTGACAGCAAACAACAACAAAAAAGACGAACAAGCCAAAGTCAAGGAAAAAAATGGAAGATTTGGCGAAAGACATGGCTGCTAGGTTATCAGAAAGTTTACTCTTTGAGTGTTAAAGCGAAAACTGCTTTCACCTGCGGCCAACATATTTCTTCTGCAATGTAATGTATTAGATTTTATTTATTATTATTATTTTTTATTTTTGTTTTATGTTTTTTGTTATTTCATTTCATTTCTTTTGTATAATTTTATATTGAATTTTTTTTCCTAAAATATCACCTTGGGCTGCTTAAAGGATTTCATACTCGCATAATTCCTTTTTAGCTTCTTATTTCACGTATTTCTCAAGGCCAGTCTTGTTGGTATTGAAAAAATAATGCCTTTATCCTTTATTTTCGGCTGCCTTCTGCTTGTTCTGCGGTGGTGGGCGATAAATTTCATGGCGATTTTAAAATTGATTTAATATTGAAAAGATGACAGCCAACAGGATGGAGTTTTTCTATCGTTGGGCAATTTATCGAAAAGGTCAGTTTAAGATTTCGGCGCGGTAGATTTATTATTTTGAGAGGTAATGTTTTTGAAAAGCAGAAGGTTAATAGGATCATCTGGCATTTAAATTTTCATACCCTTTCCTTTATTAAATGAGTGTGAATGTTTTAGAAAAGGTTTAAAGGGAGTTAAAAGGCAGTAATAGAAAATAATTTGTTGTTTTTGTTGCTTCGAAAGGTTTATCCGTATTTAATTTTGATAATTTGAAGAAATTTTTGTGAATATTCTGAAATTTCTATTGTTTGATATTAAGAATTTTAAAATTTTAATTATTATTTTACTCCCAAAACAGTACAAAGCATTGAGAGCAATAACATTTCACATACGGACTACTACGAATACTACATAACAAAGTGTACTTTCTTTAATGTTCAACTTTCTTTCTAGGTATTCCTTTGGAAGTCATACACATGCTCAGCAATTACGAAAATTTCGCCATTAATCTTTGAACATATTTTCATGCCTAACAGTCGCAATATTGCTGAGGTTTAATACGTTTTTGATAAGGAAATTCATTTTGGAAAGCAAAAGCAACCGACTTCCGCACAGTTGCCTGCAAAAAACTGCGTAAATTAATGTGTTTTGCTGTGTTTCTACTCGTTTCGCCTCAGGGCAATGGCACACTTCAAATGAATAAAAATATATGTAGATATGTACATAAATGTAAATATGTATAATTAAATGGTTCCTATGTATGTTGACTTTCTGTTCCAATTGAAATTTCAATTGTGTATGTAACATTTTAAAGAGTTTTGTGTTGTTTACCTGAACAACTTACCCGAAAATTTGGAGTCAAAAGCAAGGATCTTTGTGTTCAACTATTTTAACGAAAAGGCAAAAGTTTCTTTGCCATTAACTTTTTTTAACTACTTTTTCCTCAGTATAAGTATTTTTATAAAAATTTTTTTTATGTTTAATTTAGTGACTTCAGAAAAAAAGTTCATACAGAGTTTATGATTTCAGTACGTGCCACTCAAGCATTTAAATGCATGCAGAAAGTTGTGATCATATTTATCTTATATATAAAAAATGAAAATGGTATCTCGTCTTAAACACAAATACGTTTTTGGAACCTACTTACGAATGAATATGTCTTATCAGTAATCAATGAGATCAGAAATGAACTCTACATGGTTTTTTCTGTAACGAGGAGTGTATGCATGACGTGTTGCTTTTACACTCTAAAAATATTCTATCAACCCAAAGATAGTTCCTTTTATAATCACCGCTACATATTTCGCTGGGAAGCTATGGTATATGGCTCAAACTTCCTCAACTGTTGGTTTGTCAATCAAGTTTATACAAAAACAAAGAGACAGAGACAAAGAGACAGCGATAAAGAGCAATAAACAAATAGACAGGAGCAAAGAGACAGAGATAAAGAGGCAGAGGCATAGAGACAGCGGCAAAGAAACAAAGAGACGAAGAGATAGAGATAAAGGTAAAAAACTAAGTGACTGGACCAAAGGGACAGAGACAAAGAGACAGAGGCATAGAGACAGGGGCAAACAGACAAAGAGATAGAAACAAAGAGTCAGAGACAAAAACAAAGAGACAGGACAAAGAGACAGAAAAAAAAGAGATGGTGATAAAGAAGCAGAGACGAAGGGACAGCGACAAAGAAAGAAAGATCAGAATCTTGATCATAGTTAGATATTTACTTTGGGAAACTTACTTTATAAAAAAATATATATAGTCATGATGCCATATATAATGAATATAATCTAACAATATGGCTCTTTGACATCTCTGCCTAGGTGTCTGAGGCCCGTACTTCTTATAACAAAAATTAAAAATGTTTGACAACAATAGGAGCTTTTTTGTTTTATAAGCGCAACTCATTTAAATAATATCAGTCAAATCGGAGATATTGAAGTAAGTTTTTTTCAAAATCCGTCTAGTTGG